TTGAAACCTAATTAAAAACATGACTTGGTAGTGCGCCGATGTTCATGCCAAGCTTGTAGGTCGGTATCAAATGTTTTCCCATCAAGTATGCTTTTGTAACGGCTTGCTACAGTTGCTACTGAGCCATGTGCACGACAGATGCTCCCCTTGAGCCTTCAAACTGTTCCGCATAGGTACGCAATAGTAGTATCAAGTCTGCATGCAAACAAGTGATCAATATTTATATATATATAAATATTATTGCTGGGATATATGTATATTGTTATTATATATATTACAAAGGAACATAGAATTTCGATACAAATACAATCTATACAAATGTGTATTATTTTCTTTTGTTATAAAACCAAGGTGACAAAACAAATTCGTTCGATGGTAAATGTTTATCCGTTCCTGTATTTTCAGTTCTAAATAGTCGAATGGCAAAAAATGCATCTTATTCTAATGGCAAGAAAAACAAAACAGTATTGGATCTACAACCATCAAATCAAAATATGTTTTGTTTCATTTCTGAAAGAAAGAAGAAGACGACACATAAATATAAAACTATAAATGTCCGTTATCTTTCACGCGTTTTACATTCCAGATCTTGTAATGTCGAATTTGTTGTATGTTTTTCTTGAGTATGAAAAAGGAATCATCTCAAGACTACCTAACGAGTTTAGAGGTCAAGTGTGGCATAATGATCACCTACTTCATTCCTCTATATGTTGAGATCATCACTATTTACGATAGTGTCCTTTTTGCGCGTGATTTACTCTAACGTCTATGATATAAATGTCTAAGTCTGTAAATACGCATTTAGAATTTAAATCTATAAATAACCTAATCATTTTGTATTAGCATATTCAAAATATGTATATGCTTTTAACGCCGACGTTAACAGTTTCATTGATATGTAATTTTAATATTCGTTGATTGTTATTATGTAACCACTTTTATGCACACGATTCCTATCACAAACCTGTTCAAAATACTTTCTATTAAAGAGTTTAATATTTGTATTTAAATTATTTTATAAATTTATTAGATAACTTCCTCAGTTTTCAATATACTTGCTATCTACAGAGGTTATCATAACATTGAATACTTGTGTCAGTGTCATAGATACGACCGATAATATTAACTACCAGAAAAAAATGACATGGAGAATATAACTTCGGCGTAAGAAGTGTAGTTTCTTACGTGAAATTGCCTTAAATTACTACCCAGTTCATTCTGTTGCGTAACAATTTGTTCGTCGACCTCCGAGTAGTGGTCAACTAAATGAGAAATACATAGCTCTAAAGCATGGTGCTTTTTTCAGAAGTTACTAGTCATATATATGGAAAAAATCATCTATAGAGGTTATTAGCCGTTCTGATTTGCATAATCAGAAAGGTAGACTTATACATTACTTTTTTTTAATTCTTTTGATATTTCAAAGTAATTTCTTTCAAGGCTTTCAGCGTTTTTTTATTTTTGTTTTACAGACGGATTCATATAATATAGTTTGGTGACTGCTATTTTCTAGACATCTCATTAAGGCAGCAACCCGATGTTTTCATTGAAGGCAGTCAATATCTGCAGATCGAGTACGGTTCATAATCATCATTTTATTGCTTGTGTAAACAATCGATTCTCATATGTTTCACTGTGTCGACTGCGCCTCTATACAGATAGAATGATACCGTTAGACCGCTGATCTCATTACTACACGTGTTTTTTGGTACCTACATACTTACTTAGCAATGTTAAGTGAACTGTGTTTGGGGGCATTTATTTGTTATACTTACAGAACAATTACGATGTCGCTGTGTGTGTAATCTCATCAATTCCTGGTTTAAATTTATTCCATTTTTTAGGGTTCCGCACCTCAAAAGGTAAAAAAGGAACCCTTATAAGATCACTTTCTTGTCCGTCTGTCCGTGTGTCACCACCGATTTTCTCAGGAACGGGTAGACCTTGCAAGTTGAAATTCGTACCAGATACTGAGGTCTATGGTCCCTATTAGGTGTATAAAAATCAAGGTCCTGAGTCTTACAAATTTTCGCGAAAATCTACGTAAAATCTGGGTAGGTACGGAACCGTCGGCATACGAGTTCTACTCGTACCTGACGGGTTTTTTTAAGCGTCCCGCACATACAAATTATAATCCTAACTGAACAAAGAAATAGCATAGTCAAAAGTAAAGCTTGCAATATTATTTTAATTGTCGATGGCACTTAATCTGTCTAATACACCTAAATTACAAATATAATTCAGTTAGAGAGTTACTATGTCTACAGTTTTGGCTATGTCACATCAAACTACGAAACCGTAATTCGTAATAATATAATAATAATAATCATGTTTATTATTATGCAGTTGAACAGTACCTACCGACCTTTTTTTACCAACGTCAATCGATGAACACTGGGGCAGGGTTATTGAAATGTTACGAAATGACCATGAAATGAAAATAAGTATAGTGCTGAGCGCTGTTACTACGGCCTCAGCAGGCAAAGGCAACACACCACAACTAACAGGTCGTTGATACGCGAACGAGCGTGCATTGCGTTTGTGAGCAAGAGACAGATATATAAACAGTTTGTTGTCCTTCTCTTTAGAGTACCTGACTACGGCTCTCAAAATGTTATATGTACATATTAGAAAAGGTTAATCGCTGATTTTACTATTGTCTCTGTGCAGACACCATAGTACTTTTATTACTAATTAAGTACATCTTTATAATACACTAATATTGTGGTGTCATTGTATTTGCATTGATGAGAAATGACCAACAAAACTGACACGAAAAATAGATAAAAACAACCTTTGAAGCGCGTTGTATAACGTGTCAAAATATGATAACAATGTAGAATAAATAGTTATTACATTATCTACTTGAGTTGTTTCTTCCGGTTGAAAAAAAACTTTGAGAACTCTAGAAAAAAGACTATTAACCGCTGCAGTTTGTGTTCCCCTTCGTCTGAGACGTTTGGTTGTTCGATTGGCGCCCGAGATCGCCCCCTTCATAATTTCCGACTTAACCCGTATAATGTAATGACTTATCATCATTGGATTCTGATTTAAACCAGTAGCTTAAATCTTTCTCTAGCATTTTTTCAATAGCTTAATGCTTTAACTCAGTCATGAATTCTGTAATATTTGAAATAAAAATAGTTGTGATATTTTATAAAATAGCTTTATCTTTCTTTGAATATGAATGAAATTTTAAAACAGGTAGTCTGCAATATACATCTTTAAAAGCGTAATCTGGCCCTTAGATGCATAGTTGCGCATAGTTAATTAACTTAGTTACACCTTTCTACTTTACGGTACAGGTGGTTATCGATCTAAAATCAAGGCGGCAAAATGCACACTTTCTCTGTAATGTATAGTAACGACGTATCCTTTCTGTTGCCGCATTTCAATATTTACATTCTTGATTTGTTTTACACTTTTTTAAAGATCGGGTTAAGAATAGGAGTTTACATGTAACATATCCTTCTTTTTTATACCGAAGCCCACATGACTAATAATATACATGCCAACGAGTACTCATGAACTCCTTAATATGTACGATTTATTATGACTAATTACGTAGAAGCAATGGTTGTTGACCACGTCTGTTTAGTATGTGCAAGCATTCTCCATATGTAGACAGCCGGTAAGGCTATTGTATTGTGTACGTTACAGATGAATAATGCATCACTCGTAACTCTTGGTTTTATGATCTAACTCATCGCTATAAATCACAACACTAAACTGTTGTTTATCGATAAATAAATATTCCATTTTCAAAGTTCAAGTTCATGGAATTGTCTATACCATAGACAAATGAACATTGTAAATCTACCGTAATAAAAATATAGATTTAGGCCTTTGAATATGATGAAGTAGGTATTATGAATGGAATGAAGTTCCTTCTCATTTTTTCAAGACTCTCGTCATATTATAGAGTAAAAAGTTATGTATATACAAGCAAGTTGTAAAATATAGCTCTAGCATTCGATATCACTTCAAATCTCATACATAACTGAAGAATTTTTTTCACCTTCGAATTTTTAGAAAGAATTAGTAAGAGTTAAAAGCTACAATACCTTTTATGTGAGTTATCAGTATATTTCGGTTTATTATAACGTGATACATATGCACTTTGTTAGATTCCTAAATTTATCGACTTGTTATCTCTTGTAAGAGAGGTTTACAAAGACCAATTTAGAGGCAAGAACAAGATTAATGATTTCGGATACCGTTCTCTTATCAAGCTTGTGCCAATGCGTAGTTTATTCTTGACGTAGAAAGCTGATATCGTATAAAGCATCTTGTAGTTAGAATCAAACAAATGAATAACGACTATATTTTTATTCGCTGTCATTGCCACGTTCACCGTTATGTAACCATAATCATTGCATAAATTCTATCTTTTTACTAATAGGCCTTGTGCATACGTTCTTGACCAAAAAACTATTTAATAACTAAAATTCATAACGTGTGAAGTTTATTGCTTAGGAACACAAAGCATAGACTATTCGATGGCATTTTTTTTCTTATTAATTTAATTACATAACCATATTTTGATACTTCCGCTTTCTATTGTCGATGTAGTAATTATCATTGTCTGATCCCAGTTCACCCTTTAGTATTTATGATATGGCTTCTGACGAAGTGGATATCTATAAAGACTTTATGAAGTCGAATAGTAAAGCTCCTTAATGGATTTCCAAAAATAAATCTCATCCGTTCGCTTTTTTTACGGGTCAAGTGTTTCGTCGTAATAAAATTATTTACAAATATCAAATAAACCTGTAGTTTAAAATATCTTGCGGTCAATGATTTCTACATAACATATTGAAAGTACCAAAGCTGGCATAGCTAGGAGTTAAGACATGTATTTTACGCTTTCCAGATAATACATTCCAAATGTAGCTTACTGAATAAGTGCTATATAGTAAGAAATTGTATTGTGATTTATGTAAAAAATATTATCACGAAAAGGAAATTGTTTAAATTGTGAATATGTTAACATTGAAGATATGAGGAATATACCCGACATGGCTGTCACCACATCGCCGCCCTACCATGGCTCGCCAATTCATGACGGTTTTGCCACTATTCGAGCGCCAAGAAGCAGAATTAAAATTAGAAATCTAGTAGAACCAAACCACAGCACTAATCTACCCCAAAGACACTCTGAATACTTCACGCTAAATAGAACCCATCAAAACAGTTTCCTAGATAACAGTAGTGCAATACAATATGTAAATAATGATTCAGCGACCGATGCCTACATCGATAAGCCATCAAGACTGAGCTTCACGGAGCCTATTTATGCCAAAATAACACCACCGCCATCCAAAAGCAATTCTCCAGTGAAAAACAGAAATGGCAAAAAAGAAATCTATTATGATTCTATAAACACTAAGCCGCGTAGACGTTTAAAAAGTTTGGAATTACCCTCGGAACAGGACGTAAGTTGCGGTGAAAAACTTGGAATCTCAAACTTGAATAACGGCGACCGTCAACCGTATGAGTTGCACTTAGTTATCCAAGACGGCAGTGAGCAGCATTCCGTACGCACGGACTTTACTGGATCGTCAATCGACTGTAGAAGAAGTCATAGCGATCGCGATAACTGCTCTGAATCGTCCTCGTACTTCACGGACAACGATAGACCAATATCAAGTTACAGTGACAATTCAACGATACCATCTACGGACACAGAAGATGTCTTAAAAGAATTACCTAATAAATCTAAATTTCATAGATCGCCACAAAAATATGCTACGCTGAATATAAGGAGACCAAAATTCATAGATCTAAAACTTAATAACATGAAAGAAAATCCTTTATACGGTAGCTTGCAACGTAACAGAATAGGCTACCATTCTGAACCGAGTACACCGCTGACTGATGATCATAATGTCATGCATAACGAGCATACAATTCTTAGCGAGGTGCAACAAATACCACGAATGCCATTGCAAAATAATAGAAATGGTTTTAAGAGATCTGTAAGTGAAACAAATGGATTTTCGAAACGGCTTAACTATAGGCATTCATTTAGTGCAGATAGTAGACCGCAAAGAAGACCTCACAAATGTTGCGAATGCATAACAGGTATCATTGCAGATGAGGATTCTAGACAGGCGTCTACCAGACCGTTATCAAGGACTCTAGGAACTTTATATGAATCTCAAGACCCAAAAATCGGTTGCCAAACAATCCTGCGATCTAAACCCCCAGTGCCTTGGTGGGAATTAGCTATCAAAAAATCCCGCTACAAAAGTTGTCCAATTTTAGAAGAGGTGAGTGTCTTTTTATTTATATAATGTTGTAATTTTACTCCTGGTAATTCATAAACAGTTGTGGTATAAGTTAGGAGAAGCACATTGTTTTCATATAATGATTATTTAATTTTTGCCTTTTCTATGCACTGTACATGTACATGTACAGTGCATAGAAAAGGTACAAAAAAGACAACAATTTTCTAAAATTGTGTGCGTTGTATAGTTTAAAATTGTCCTAATTTTGGTAGAAAGAGTTCCTGATACTTCAGGTTTAAAAAAATTAAAAATAACAAATATTATTTAAACACAGAATAGGTCAAGTGAGATGTTCACAGATACTTCAATTGAATTAATTTGTATCAATTAACTGGGAGAAATAGTAAAATAGGTGTGGTTTCTTTTTACTATAGCTCCTTTAAATAGGATAATAAACGGCAAGGAAAGTACATGAATTTTAATTTCAAACGCCAGCCAGGGGGATATTAATACACATAAGTGACGTAGCGTGTTCACATGACATCTCTTGCGTAGGGTGTAAGTTCCCCTCAGGTGGTATTATCAGGGAGTGCCATGCTTTTATTTAATTTGACTTCAGAATAAAATTTCTGCCCTTTATGCAAATCATGATAAAAATTTGTAAACGAAATGTAATTGTAGTAATTTCATCTCTCGATTTGATTCACTTACGAATTTAAGTTTTCCATACTTTAATAGAAACCTTTTAGAACAGATGTTTGGTTCAAGCTGTATACGAGTATCACTGATGAGAACCTATATTATGATGCTACCGACATCCAAAAAAAAAACTACCTGAATGCTGATCTAATACCAAAAAGGACCTTCATTACATTGTTAGAGGGTCAGGTGTTGACTTAATCGTTCCCAAAATCCCATTCACGAGATTTGAAAAACTGTTTCTCACGATATTTATAAAAACTAATTCTTTACTATAATGTAACTAACCGTTTCCTAAGTTTCCCCCTCTTTATTTTCACTCATAGGGGTGGTAAGGATTGTGAGCTCCATCACGCTGGAACCCGCTTTGGGATAAACTTTTTTTTATTTCTGTTTTTAACTACAAACAATGCTAATGAATGTAGTAAACTTTATTTTTTTGTAGTATCAATAATAACGCGGAAAAAAACATAAATTATGCGCAAAGCACTAAATATAAAGGTAGGTTAAAAAAAGTTTTGAAATAGGCGCTAAATTGTTTGTAGTTTCTTGTAGCTTTCAGTGACACAGAAAGAAAATACTGTTACAGAATGGTAATATGCCTGATTAGGTGTGAAATAAAAAGCTTTAACTAATGGCTGTAAAGTGTCCACAAAGTATCTATCATAGGAATAAACTAGTAAGTTAGTATCAACAGGAAATTACTGGAGAAATTGATAGGAGATGCATTAACATAGTGACCAAAGCTAGTTAATGTTAATACATTAACTAGCTTTGGTCACCATATCTGTTGTAGTTTAGAATCACGTACCTATATGTACTTCGGGATCAGGCATGAGATAGCTATCGTGCCGAACGCCTGCGCCTCGGTGCCTGTGATGTTGTCCGCTAAGGTGGTAGCCGCTGCGACCACGGCACACTTTCCTAACGCAACTGGAACCGGATACAAAATTTCTCTCATGACTTGTTTATGTTTGTATTGTATTTGCAAAACCCACATATTAATAAAATGTTTAATAATAAGATCCTAGTGATGACTAAGGAAAATATTACGATAACTAGCTTGTACGTAATTTCTTACGCGCGTCACCAATAGCTGCTTCCATAAAACTTTTAATATTGACCTTACATTTTTATTCTGTAAGTCGGCCACATAAATTGTCGGCATACATGTACGAGTAGTCCAGATATGTTCAAACCGAATAAGGAAGAGTGCACTTGAACAAATAATTTCTGTCGACTTCGACCAATCTCTCGTAAAAGACGTTAGTGGGCTTGTGAAGTGGGCCTAAAATATCACTTGGAAGCTTGTAAGCAACGCCTACTCGATTTATGTTTTGTTATAGGTTGTGTTGTCCTGCGAACATGTTTTCTTTAAATTATATTCCTAAATATAACCCTGTGCCGTACGCGGATCGCCTGCGTTAAATAATATGGTGTTCTTTATTTAATACTTTTTTGACAATATGGTAAAAGTAAAGTTAGTATATTACAAAATATCTTGAAAAGCTCCCCGCGCTTTTTACGATAAAATGATTTTTCTTTTTAAAATTATAGAAAAATATTTTCTACTTTTAGCTACTTAGTTACTTAGTTACTACTACTTAAACACTACCGTATTTTTAGGTAACAAAAAAAACGTTAATCCTGAAGATCCTGATCAGGACCATCGGCCAAATTTATAAAATTATTGTATTGTCATCGGTCCTTTTTTTTATGGAATAGGGGGCAAACGAGCAGACGGATCACCTGATGGAAAGCGACTACCGCCGCCCAATTAACGCCTGCAACTCAGGAGTCATAAGCGCGTTGCCAGCCTTTGAGGAAGGAGTACGCTCTTTTCTTGGAGGTTTGAAGGTCGTATCGGTCCGTAAATACCGCATATAAACTTGTTCCACAGATTGGTAGTGCGAGGCAAAAAGTGTCTTGAAAAGCGCACAGTGGTGGAGCACCAATGATCTAAGTGGTGGGGATGAAAATTTTTTGGTCCATGATAAGTATGCGAATTTTCAATTTAATTCGACGTTTTAAAGTGGGTCAAAATCACGTTCGAAGATTTCGTTACATACTCGTACATACATACCAAGCTATAAAAGCGTGTTAAAAATAGTGTTGTATCCTGAATGATCAAGCTTAGTTAATTTATTAGTTTAAATTTGCATTGAGCATGAAAAACAAAAAAAAAAAGATTTATAATAGATTTTTATTTCGTTTGACGCATTACACAAACAAGCAAACAAAATTTTAAAAACATTAAGAAAAACCCAATAATAAATAATTGACTTGCCGTTGTTGAATACATTTTTTTTTAAATTAGCTAAACTTTGTAAAAAAATATATGTGTTAAGTAAATACTTTTATATATTTTAGATTTCTGACTCTCTCGCTCACGGAAAATTCTAAAATATACACAACTAGATACACCATTGTTTGCTATCCACTCTGGGCCCAATACGTGAACGAAGCTGAACAGTGATTGTTGTTGTTGACAATATTACTTAATCTGCATACATCTAGCCTGTGACATGCAAGTTATCAAATAGTTTTACGAAATAACGATCAAGAGAGAATATGTAGAGAAAGATTATCATTATGGTTTGCACATTTTAGCACATTTTATTCCGGAAAAAATGTCAATAAACGCAAGCGAAAGCGCGTATAGAAGCAAATAGTATACAAAGCAAAGAAGAAGGATGCATTAAATATTTTGCAGTGAAAACCCTCTGGATGGTCACTGGACGTAATACTTCCATACGGAGTACTAGTAACTATTTCATCGTGTCATTAAATTCTTAAAGCGCGGCTGTTTCCGCAGCTGTTGACTAATAATTGGTTTCACCTGTCTGCGCATTCATATACTTATATCGTACCTGCCATGAAACTGTCTAGGTATACATATGTATAAGGCGTTATAAGAGTTATATTTGTAAGTTGCTTTCCTTCTATGCGTGCCTCCACTTGCGTTAAACACACATGATAGCTGCATTATAACACCTGTTTAACATTATAAAAATGTTAAACAATAACATATTAGAGATTTCTTCCATTGGAGGCTATTACTGAATGCGTGACTACTTACATGTATTAGCAAAAACAAATATCACTTATTTACTTCGGCACGTGCATTTATAATGTGTCTTTTGAAGATCTATCAATAAGAGAGTGGAAAATGTTGTGTAAACAGAAATTACCGTAGCAGGTGGATTGCCCTATTAAGATGTTTCAAATACATTGTTGCCTTTAGGAGTGTATGAGTCTAGCATATTCAGACGTTAAATGTGTTTCAGTTTCAAACAATTATAATGTAAGTTTGTTTTACGGTTTAGTACATTCATGTTTTAGGTAGGGATTGAGGACGTTACCCCTGTTTTAATTTTGGTAAGTGCATTTCTACAGCAAACAAAGGGCCCCTCGTCCAGCTACACCCACGTTTACTACAACTTGGATACCGTCCTATAAAGCAATTTAATTCGATGAGTCACTTATGTAATTCGTACAATGTTTATAACCAATGTCTATGTTAATATTACAAAAGTAAAATGTTGCGTGAAGTGATAAAATTACCGTCAAGACCACACTCCTAACCGGTTTGTTATGGTTGAGGGAATTGGTCTCATTATTAAGCTAAGGATATCAAGCTGTAAAATTAACAATTTCACTCTACTGAAGGTAGTATGAGAGATCTATGTCGATCTGTGGTCCACTCTGATTACAAATTAAAGTGAATAGAAATTACAGCTATGTAGATCATCTCACGATAGGAAGTTGTGTGTAAATATAATATCATGTTACAATTTGTAATACAATTTGACTGTCGTACATCAATTATAATTATTTGTTATAGTTACTATGAAGTCTAACATCAACATCATCAGTTTTGAAAATATTCGATTAACAAACATGAACAAAATGCAATAAAATTTTGGAACCCATTTTTTTGTTGAACGGGGCGGAAAATCCCTTCGGATCTCCGGTTTCTCGGGGTCGCAGGAGCCAGGAGTATGTGGTGTTGTCACTAAAAACCACCCCGACGGCTGGTCTCAGGCGCCCTACTCCGAGAAGGACCCGGACCATGTTATTTCAGGTCCCCCCGATCGTAGCCCTATCTAGGGGCAGCCGCGGGCTTCCCCCGTTTATCGGTCCAAACATTATATGTTGCGGCCCGATCGCATTTTTGCGACCATGAAGCCATCCTACCGCCTACCGCAGCAGTTAATACGCCACCAGAGGTCCGCAATCTCTGGCAGCCTAAAATATTGGTTAGGTACCTACCTAAGTTCTAAAGTAAGCTTGTCTAAAATATGATGTTATTGTTCTAGGCCCACGTGGTGTCCGCTTTTGAACAAAGCCTATCAAACATGACGCAGAGGCTGCAGCAGCTTACAGCGACCGCCGAGAGAAAGGTAATTAAACTGATTAGATTTCCATCGTAAAATCACACATTACCTTTTCAATGTCATTTTATTATCGATCATTGCAACTTTTACTGCTGTTAGACGGTTATGATTTATGTATATTTGAGAATATTTTGTAATTAATGGTTATAACGAACAAGTTCTGTGCATAAGTTATTCAAGCCAAACATCTCAGACAATAAAGATTTCAACTACTAACCTTATCATAACGAAAAAAAAAGTACAGCATACGTGCCAGAAATGCTCTGCTGAAATATACTAAAGAACAAATGCAAAAAATATCCTGGTAAGGTTCATTAAATCTTACATTGTTATGTTATAGAAAAGAAAGATATAATATAACTAAGTGATACAAATAAAGCCCACCTTATTTCGTAGGGTTTACTAAAACAAGTAATTATCAGTACTACTAACAAATTGTTTCTATTCAATTGAAGACAGCGATGTTGGAAAAACTAAGCTGCAAATTTCACTTTAACCTATACAACTAGGCTAGTTAGGTATAATCTGACGATCTAAATGATATGTAAGTGTAGATCAGTGTATTCTGATAGACATGTCTTACATTTGTCCGATCACTGTATAAGCTTCTGCACTCTATGGAGATAAACAAACCATACATAAACTCTATATCAGTTCTATTTTTATTAATCTTATTTTTCTATATCGAGACAATCAGCCATTCAAAAAGCGCTGTGAAGTCCTATGAAATGATTATGATTAGCGTATCAAAATAGTAGTTGTAATCCTTATGAACTAGAGGTGAACAGACTCAAAAAGGCTATAATTTTACCCTATACCAGGCGAAGCAGGTGATCGTTTTGAATTGGAAAAGACTGAGGATTTTAGTGTAGCACTAAAACAAATTTTATTGCTTGGTAATATCATTCACACATGGACGGGGCAAGTCAATGAGAGTGTGCACGAAGTGTACTAACCGGTCCGAACGGATACAAATTACTTTCTTTTAATTATACGAGTATGTTTTATTGTTGTATGTCGAATGTGGTCTGATACTTTTTGTTTGTTTTAGGATTCTGAGCTGACGGAGTTGCGTCAAACGATCGAGCTACTAAGGAAGCAATCAATTCAGGCCGGTCTTACGACAGCACACATGCAGTCCATGGGAATTCGTGCGGACGGCGTCAATGTCACCGGCCAGGTACATTAATTTACTCAATAAAGATATAAAACCTGCACAACCGTTAGATAATAGATTCATTCATAAGTTTTCTTAGTATCACAAAACAGTGTGTCATACAGTGTCATACATTCCCGTTTCATGTCACAAACTTCATAGTTATCAAACAAGATGAGTAAGGTGAGTAAGGTTATATATATATATATAGGAGTAGTAGTAATATTATACGAAATCTTTCAACGAAACTTTAAACAAAAAAGGTATAACCAATCGTCTCGTACCACGTATGTGCTAAAAGTACATCAAGATAAAGTAATAATATTAATAACTTGACATAGTTACACACAGTCATCTAGGCTGCTCATAAACATACTTATATTTTTCTAAATACACACATTCCTATCGTAAATAAATTAGATACAGAAGAAATGTTTGTGCTCATCGCACAAATGGAGAAAACGTGGTTGTTCCACAGAAATACCGTGGACAAATAGATTTAAAACTATAGAAACAATAATATTTCTTTAAGCATCCATTTACTTTTAATGTCACATCATTTTCCTTCATAATTGTAATCTTATGTGGAAACTGCACTGAGTCCAATATCATCTATCAATCACATGTACATGCCTAAAAACGAAGTTAACATTAGCGTGATGTTAACCATAGTTACGTTGTTCTTACTATTTTATATTTTTGTAAAATGATGTTAGTAATTGAAAACTAACTCTAATAGGACATTGACTCGTTATAGAACTCCATCCTACCTGTTATATCATCATCATCATACCTGTTTGTGTTGTTATTTCATGCTTTTGATATATTTCACTAATTATTGTCACAACTATCGTTAGGAATCTATCTGAAATCATATCTATAAATTGGAGACTAAAGTTAGTAATTGCATAGAATATCAACTAATAAATTACAAATTCAGTGTTAACATGACTTTGGAACTACAGGTTCAGTTTGCAGTCTGCAATAAATCTTTTATAAAATATAACGAATAGTTACCACAAAAATAAAAATAATCACTCCGCAAATTTATTACTCCTAAACCTTATTATTTTAAAAGTCATACTGAATATTATTCTAATTTTTATATCTTAAGAAATGATCAATATTGTTCTACATGTAAGTACTACGTAGTCAAGACAGGGTTCATCAAACATCAAAATCGAGATGTTCGAGGTCCAATAAGCCCAAAACAAATAAGGCAAACGTTAACATTACCATTCAATTGGCCATCAATAGATCTGTCCCTGTTCTACATTTGAAACGGGCCGAGAATAGACAAGTAATATAATGACTTGAGAGTATAGTCACACGTTTAGTCGGCACACAGTGTCAATCAAAAATACAAATTCTGATTAAGAAATTAATAACGTAGATGGACATGAATGTCGCGCTTTTTAGTAGTTAGCACGTGGTTTTGAGCATCTGTGGCACCAAGAGTTTAAACATGTTTTTGTCAATTTGTAAATTAGTGATGTAGATATCGATGCTAAAATGTCAATGTGTTTGCTTTAGGTGAAACTAGGTGAAACTAGTTTCTTTTTTTATCTATTTATTTTACCCAAATCTTGATTATCATAATACGTCTTCAAGTATGCCGATTGTAATTATTAATGAAATGTATTGCTTATTAATAATGCCAATTTGAGAGATAATGTAAATATTCAACAGATACTCTAAAAGTGTATTCTAGTTTATATTGACCAATGTATGTATGTTATTTAATTTTTCTGTTAAGTTAGGACGAGTTCATAGTAAATTTATATTCACGAATCGATAATGAAATCTATCAATCATCACATGAATACAAAGTCTATTTAGACTTAAATAAAATTTTATAATTTAGATTGGCATACGGGATCGATGATCGCGTGGACTTATACGGCTTGTTAATTACTTGCGTATTTTTATCACTCTTTAAGATTTTTCTTTTCAAAGAACGAGATATTTCATAATATCCTACCTGCGCAACATAGAACGTCCTGGTTTTATGTTAAGTCTCTTTATCCTGCTGATTGCTCTTATATTGCTTTCAATAAGAATCTACTCACAACTCAAATATTGTGATGACAAAAGTTTTGTATATTATAGATGTAGAAAATACTAGCAACGGTCTGTGAATGTGTGACGGAGAACTACATTTCGATAGGTAGAGTTGATTCAAATTTCATATAAATACAATATTATGTCGTAGGAACCATCCAATCCTCAATCGCAATCGTCTCCCCAACGTGGTTTGCAAACGGGCAACGGAGCGATTACGCGGCACCTGTCTACAGACAGCGTTTCTAGTATCAACAGCCTCAGCAGCGGATCTTCTGCTCCACATGATAAGAAGCATAAGAAAAAGGGATGGGTAAGTCATCATACCACACTTTTCTTTCGGCACAATATTTAAACCTAGTACTGGAAATAAGGATCAATGTGTCTACGTATAAAGTAGTGTAATTGACAGTAAACATAAGTAACTGTACTACTTAAGTAACAAGTATCTACTACACAGATATTTCTTTACAATTCTAATACAGTTAAAGAGTAATAATATCATGTGTTCGGTCTTTTCTTGACTAACTAACTTATGCAACAGTCGATTTTAGATAGCACTTAATGCTTCAGTCAGCTGTACAAAGCCTCAAGTGGCAGTTTAGTTTTATTTTAACTGCAGATTACAACTGTAATATCTTTTATACAACCGAAACTCGTGTTCATTAAACACAAAAAAACATTGTTGCGCAAGAACATCACACAAGTGTTCATATTTACATAAATTGTACCGCGTTTCTTATGATGCAATTCATATAAACACTGTCTAAACATCTGTTATTATTATGCGAAAATCCTCTGCATACGCATTAAAATCTCAATATGTACAAAGCAAACAGAGTATAACTAATATCACCTTATATAACAGCTGCGGTCGTCGTTCACGAAAGCTTTCTCGAGGAACGCTAAGATATCAAAGACGGCAAAACATTCGTCCTTGGGGCAACTGTCATCACAAGACAGCTCTTCGGGTTCCCATCACTACGACGACCCGCACACGATCCGAGAAGGAAGCAACGAGAACAGTCTGGAACATTCGCACGAAACGCTGGACGTTAAGGACAAGTGCTCTGCGGCCAACACAGAAGAACCGACCAAAGGTGAGAGGGCCAATATACAGTAAATGCCTTTAATTATCTAAGTATATACTTCAAACAATCACGCTTAGATTTCATCATCATCATCATAAGCCTATCGCAGTCCACTGCTGGACATAGGCCTCTCCCATTGCACGCCACTTAGATCGATTTTGGGCTTCTCGCAATCAGCTCCTGCCAGCCATCTTGCGCAAATCGTCACTCCACCTGGCCTGATTAGATTTACTATATACTTACTATATTCCGTAATTGAGTAACGTTATTTGTTCATAGATAAACCAGAGGAGTCTGACCGTTTAGTAGACGAGTTGAAGAGACAATTGCGAGAAAAAGATTTGGTGCTCACTGACATACGATTGGAAGCTCTTAGCTCAGCACATCAACTTGAAAGTTTGAAAGATACTGTTATAAAAATGAGGGTAAGATCTTCTTTTCATTTTTGTATATTATACTTATATACATTGTGTACAAGGCTAGTGCTGTAACGATATTAATTACTTTAACAAAATAAGTATGTTCCTTATGTACTTCAATAGCTTCTGAGTATTTTAAGGTTCGGTTTTAATGTTAACATATTACATTATACAGTACAGGACAGTATAAACTTACATGTATTTTATTATTGCTATTTAATAGTATGTATATCATTACACTATTAAATGACAACTCCAATGTTGAATAGCCTTACAGATATTTACTGTTGATAAACCTTACATTGTTTTTGTATACAAACGTAATAATATATTTCTTCTTGACCACTTTTTAATAGTATACCTAGATTATTGTCCCACGCTTAATACTCATATCATGCATATTTTCTCAATTAAGTACTCAATAATCAGAATCGGTCCACCAAGAGGACCGTATTTAATATCAAAATATCGGCCATGGTTAAAAAACTAAAAAAGAAATCAAGGACCTCAAATATGTAACAAACCGTCTCCGTATGAACTGACGCAAGGCAAATCAGCCCGACCTAAAATAAAAGCGCTTCGCTCGATCGGAGATTAAATAAATAAAATTGCAATTTTATAAAGAATTTTTCTTTTCTTTTCAGAAGTAATAATCTATTAAAGAAGTTGTATTAAACGTACAAAAAACTTTAGTTTAGACGGTACAGATAAATAGGTAAACGAACTAAGAAAAACAAAAAGTTTTGAAACTCAAATAAGTGAAAGTTAGGAAAGTAAAAACACAAAGTTTAAACAATAGAATATGTACTTTAGTTTTTAAATACTTTTAAGTAGTGAGTACTTTTGACTCGATACATTTCATCTGTTACCAGCATAACGTTTACATTTGAGTTTACAATGATTATTGTCATATCATTTTGCCGGGGCTAATAAATCTATGGAGAAATTGACTGCACGGATGACGTAGTGATTAAAGCGGTTTCAACCCCACATGGAACGACACTTTGTGTGATCCACAAATTGTTGTTCTGAGTCTGGGTGTTCTTTGTGTCCGTTTCATGTATGTTTGTAAAGTTCCCCGCTACACAGGATATATTATATTATGCGGGAGTTGTCTTTTTAAAAAAGAAAAAAAAGAAGAAAAACTAAAAATTGTTTTACTTTTTGTGTTCGGACCAAAGTAAGAGGAAAAAGTTGTAACATCCATTAGTCAGTATGGTATGAACGTTATGCCAGAATAGCCAGACGATAGGTATTGCCATTCAACCTATTAAGATATACGTATTATTTCAGATAGCTTTCTATAATTTATCGCAAAGGCGATATGTATTCACTAAGTGTCTAGGTGTGGTAATTAATAATTGGTTGCTATTAATAGAGCAATGCGTAACGTTATTTTTCCGAAACACCCCTCATTTAGTATTTTACCGTCGGTACAATAATAGCAAGGTGGTCGTTGTAGCAATAACAATTAGTTGCCGTATCTTCCATAATATTAATTTCTAACGAACACCTGGTACACATTTTACAATTATGGGCGCAGGGCAGCTATGGTGACGGGTTAAATAAGTCACAGGTGTATATTAAGGCGTGTCGTATAATTACAATACGATTATGACCGGCACACGGTGTGTTCTTATTGCAATACTACCGACCATGTGTACAATAACTTTATAACAAACGTTGGGTTGGGATTGGTTGTTGTAAGTAGTTCTGTGAAGTTAGGAATCGGGATAAATCACTTAAGGCATTGTCGTTTTTAAGAAGCCAATAAAGAGAAAAGCATTTGTATTAATAGTGGAAATCATATCTTTTTGGCTGCATTTGCATTTTGGGAACCAGGTATACCCTAGAAAGGAAGTCCCTGGTGCCCCGACATACCGCTTTTTAACCCTGTAAATGTTCATTGTATTCCTTGTTTGTATTACATATTTTAGTTTGTTAAGTAAAAGTTAAATATTTACAGAATGAAATGTTGAACCTCAAACAAAATAACGAGAGGCTTCAACGATTAGTGACGTCACGATCTTTAGCTGGCAGCCAAAGTTCGCTTGGTACTGGTGGATCCGCTGTTGAAGACCCACGGAGATTCAGTCTTGCAGACCAAAGTACTATGCATCAGGTATGTCAGTATCTTAATACTATTATAAATGCGAAAGCTTTGAAGATCAAAGTAGGTGTGATCTCGATATCAAGCGAGGCAATCTCAAAAACTAACCACACCACAACTTAAATTACCTTAATGGTGTGCTAACTTGTCCTTACTGTGCTGTACTTTTAATGCTTAGAAGGGACATCAGAGCTTACGTAAGCCACATCAGAGAACACGCTCGAAACTTTAACCCCTAAGCATAAACAGTCACTGTAGCTGAAATCGAAATGGGATTCATATATTACATTTTACCCTGGAAGATTTGATTGAACAAAGCGACGTTAACGAGAGCGAAGATGGGTAAAATTTAGTATTACCTACATTTAATATATAAATCTACATACAGTAGCAACCTGCTGTAACTTTTAATATTTTATAAAATATCTAGATTACCAATTTATAAAACAGTAGCACACATAGTAATAATTTGAATTTCTTTCAGGCGACGATGGACATGCATTCACAGCCTTTAGACCTAGATTTCAATTGCATGACGTCGACCCCAACCATGGACTTTTCCAAAAAAGGCTCGCCTAAATCCAGCATAGAACCCATATACGGTAATAAGGCCGTTTGCGAACTCAATGAAAACAGCGAGACACTATTAGGGGCACTGAATGGCAGTAGTGATTTATTTGCGAACGGACTGAATGCGTCAGAGCGACTGAGTGGCGACTACGATATAAACAGTGTTTTGCCGCCGCCTAAAAGTCGGGAACTTGCGATAGGGGAAAGCTATTCCGATATCGGTAAGTTTTAGTTTAAAAACTCACGCCCTTAATTGCTTTATAATGTGTACACGATAATGTGTGACTCATTGCAACCCATTGTCACAGGTGTCGCCGACAGTCAAGGAGACACAACAGATGGGAAGAAGATAGCTATAGCTGTATACTTAGGACAATCGGAGACATTCCAAAGATATTTCGAAGAAGTACAGGACACGCTCACAGAATCAGAATGCAGATTTTACGCCAAACAGTCTGCGAGCGCGTACAACAATCACTTTGAGAAACAGTCGAGTTTCGACTCACCACGGTTGTCCCAGAACCGTAGTCCTGAAACTGAAACCCAAGACTACGGACAAATAAATAAGTCTAACACAAATAGCCTTAAAAGCAATAAATCTACGCACAGTAATTCGTATAAGAATGTTTATAATAGTGATTCGACAATAAACTGTAATGAATTCACCATAGCTTACACTTATATCTCTGGCAAGACGACTTGGCAGAACTTAGATTATATAGTTAGGAAGACGTTTAAAGATTATTTGTCTAGAATTGATTTGGGAACGAATCTTGGTCTAAACACGGACTCGATAACGTCTTATCACTTGGGCGAAGCGACACGAGGGCCAGAGATAGGGTTCCCGGAGTTGTTACCTTGTGGTTACATCATTGGCACTGTTAATACGCTGTATATCTGCTTAGAAGGCGTTGGAAGCTTAGCGTTCGATAGTCTTATACCAAAAAATATTGTATATAGGTAAGCCTTACTATACTGTGGTATCTACTTGTTAAAAATGGTGTTGCGAAACAAAGCTGATTGTTTATTTTCTGTGTAGATATGTGTCGCTGTTATCGGAACACCGGCGAATAATATTATGCGGACCAAGCGGCACTGGCAAGTCTTACTTGGCAGCCAAATTGGCGGAGTTTTATGTACAGAAGACGCAGCGCAGAGGAAACCCCGTTGAAGCAGTCGCTACTTTCAAGTGAGTCTATTTTTAAAATAAGTATTGTAAACAAGAAATACTCCAGTTTAAAGTTAAAATTATATCTTAGCAAAACATTTTAATGTACAAGCCAAAAACTACTTATGTCCTTAAAATGTAAATTGTCTCGTTAATAATTTACATACTATATTAACTTGTTAATTACGAAGCACTTACGTCTAGAAAGTGTTTTCCTGTTTAATGTAATTAGTTTAAAAAAAGTTCTCAGAGTAAGAGGATACATAAAAGAAAACTTGTTTGAATGGCGTTCTGTTACACAACGCGCACTACAAGAACTTAATCTTCATAAAATACTAAAATACTAATTTCATAAATGTTTGTTTACGTGTGTGTCTATTAACATATGTGTGACTTTGGTGACAGCGTGGACCGCAAATCGTGCAACGAGTTACGGGCTTACCTGGCGAACATCGCCGAGCAGTGCGGCGCCGCGGCCGCGGAAGAAGCGGCGCTGCCGTCCGTCGTCATACTCGACAACCTGCAGCACGCCTCCGCCCTCGGGGACGCCTTCGCCGGCCTGCTGCCACCCGACAATAGGAACATGCCTGTTATTATTGGTGAGTATACTTTACGGCTTTTCTATTCCTAGTATTTTAGGTGTAATATACTACACCACACGTACAGAAGGCTGTCTGCTTGAAGATAACTATTCTGTCCGTTTTCCATATTTCCGTTAAATGATAACATATACAGCACTGAGATAATTGATTCGGAATTAATCATCAGAAGTCAAAGGACAAGAGCCAAGGACTGGCTGATCGGAGCCTTAAGTTTGATGCCGACTCGGGACAAAAATTTGTATTATTCGAAAATAAGTGTCCCGAGTCTAGGTGATCTTTGTAAGAACATTTTTAAATGCCTTGTAGGTAAAATTGAAATCGTTCCTAGTTCAGTTAAAAAAACAAAACGAGATTTAAAATGAATGGTTTGTTCTTCTTGCTCCGACTTGTAAAAAGATTTAATTGCAAACAAAAATATAATTTATCATTTATTTATCCTTTATATAATATAAAATAAAGTCCCTTTTTTTCTTGTACGCTTAGATCTTTCAAACTACGCAGCGGATTTGAATATTTTAACCAAGAGAAAGAGTGATTCTAGAGGCAGGTTTATATATATATAATACCATATTCTAGTAGAGGAAATCCGAGAATTTTAATGATTTGTAGTGTGAAGTTGTAAAAAACATGGTTGTACGTAACGTAAGCGCCCCACAACCATGTTTTTTACAACTTCGTATTAAAATAGCGTTAGCGCTATCTAAACCTTAGGAAATAGATCAAAATAATGTAAAACGGAATTGTATATCTTAAAACGATTTACAAAAAATAACCCACAGTAACCATTTTATCTTTTACATATTACAAAAAATATTGACTGTTTTGAACAATACAGTATTATTCCTTATTCAAGTAAATTCGTTAGAGACGGAGTGCATCAAATATAGATTAAAATTGCCTTTTCGATCATATCGTTGAAGTGAAAATTTTATTAGATATCAAAGATTTGAAATGCGGGGGCAAAGCGGCCCTCGCTGCTTCGTACGTCCGTACGTTCGTCCCGGGTGGCAGCGCAAGTTAGGATAGGAGCGGGCCAATAAATATTGCATATAAAGTTGTCCTGTAGTATAGTCTTATCATAATAATAGTGTAATTAATTACTTCACACTGACACCATATTTGTAGTATTAGTAGTACCTACATTGCACCCGTGTGAAGGGGCGGTTCGCTAGTAAATAATAAATCCCTGTTTTAATTGCTCAATCGCATAATTAACAGTAACTCTATTTTATTTCCGGCTACGTTCTTCAACAGTTTAATCATTGCTGTTAATAATACAAATGCGGCATTTAGCCAATTGAATAGATGTTATACTCTTATTTTATATATTAATTACCTTCTAACTCTGTCCTTACATAAGGAAAGGATTATCCAAAGAAATAGATATTCATAATATGTATTTGAATTACTGATTGAAGTACAATTTATATTCACTCATTCACCTCGATTAAAATTACGATTAGATACGATTTCCTTGTACGTTTTCCTTTCCAAGGTATATTTATTCACTCTTAATTAAAAAATAAATAATGTCACGCGGTCGTTTATAAGTTCCTCTATAAGTATATATTCTTTGGAATAGACTATAAATCTATGAAAATAATTGAAAGATGAAATCGTATCATGTAAATGCAAATTTGGGGCGAATTGATATTAATTATATCTAGGTATACAAGATGTAACTTATATATTAAAAAAAACCTGAATTCTGTTCCTAGCAAAGCTGGGAATTACATCCAATCTTAAATTTACTTTTTTTAATCATCATTATCAACAGCCTTTAACAGTCCACTGAGGTTTTTTAATGAGAGGTATAAATACATTTGTTTGTCATCAAGCACCGGATATCACCTTTTTTTTGTTGACGGATTGAAAAATCCCTTCGGATCTTTGGCTCCTTATGGTTGTAGGAGCCAGGAGTATGTGGTGTCGGAGCCGGACTCAGGCGCCCGACTCCGAGGAGGACCCGGGCCATATTATTTCAGGTCCCCCGGATCGACGCCGCGCCTAGTAAAGCCCTATGCCGCTCTGCCACCAGAGGTCCTCACTCTCTGACAGCCTGCGGCCCCGTCGACGGCTGGTATCGTCGCCGACGTCCTCTACGCTCGAGATCGGCCCTCTCCCGATCCTGTTCAGCGGTCTCTTTCTGGAGCATTACAGTTTCACAAAAAGAGACGCAATGATTGCTGGCGGGAACAGGTCTCGTCCGATTTGGAAGACCAGGACTTCGCGTTCAGAGTTGAGCGTTCGTCCACGCGAGGCAGTCCGAAAGACTTTTCAGCGTGTGCTGGGCGGAGTCCCAGTCGGCTGCGCAGTGGCATAGTGCCGTCACCTCGCATCAAAACCGATTCAGGTACTCACCGAAGCAGCCATGCCCAGTGAGTACTTGCGTCAGTTGACGCGGCCTCCCTTTCTACCTACCTAAGCTTCGAGGCTAGGCAGAACAGCGCCGACAACGCGTTGGCGGGCATTCCGCGGTTGTTGCAGCCGCGCGTTACTGCACCAGTGCCTTTCGGTGAGCGTTCAGTCACATTTTGAGCTCGTCCTGGTCTTCTCCGCTCTCACCCCGGCAGATCGCGCGAGCCTGCTCATGACCCTCGCGTTCATATCCGCTAGGATATCAAAAGGCGGGAAACGTGCCAGGACTGTCGCCGCCTCCGACGAAATGGTGCGGTATCCCCGTACGATCCGAATGGCCGCTAACGCTGCGCTTGTTTGAGCTTAGTTCGGGAGCGGGAGGAAGCCAATAGGTGCTTGGCCCAAATCGGCGCTTCGTAGAGTCCTCTACGGATGGATGGATGGTATCAACGCACAGTAGAGGAGGCGAACTTCCCCCCGCGGGCCCCCTAGATTAGGCAAAGGCCTCTGTAGGGAGCCCGCTACCCCACGAACTCGAGGCATCATCCGCTCGAAATGCTCCTCGAAGCTCTAGCAGCTGTCCAGGATGAGGCCGAGGCCACTCTTATAACCACCAGGCTTCCGTCTTGTGGAGTGCAACCCTTAGACCGCTGATCTTCGGACGACACAAGCTAAAGCACCGGATATCACCTTCTTCCTCTTTTTACAAACTTTTTTTAACTTGCAATGTATGTATGTAACTATGTTTGTTCGGGTGGAATCTTGCAACTCAATTTTGAAGCAGATATCGTCAACCGATAGAGCTGAAATTTTGTGTACATGTTTAGTTTGAATGACAATGCATGGTTAGCTGTATAACGTCATTTTAAATCCAACACCCAAGATGGTGTTGGATTTAAAATGACGTACCTACACCCACTCCTACAACATGGGTATCAAATAAAAGGACTTGCTGAGAATAACTCGAAGAATAAAGTGACGTCGCTTTTATATCATATGAATTATGTAATGACGTAATAAGTTGATAGTAAAAGTCTATTTTATTCTTTTTAGTGCAGTTAAATAAAAGCTTACTTTTAAAACCAGTTTTTACTTTTAATTTATCTCTAGTAATACTCAAACGCGATTACATCCTGTACGTTTCTAATGTTTTCATAACTTTCTTTTAATACACATCCGGTTGTAATTGATGTCCGTGGTTCTTTCCGGTCAAAGAAACTTGTTAGAACAAGCAACATAATTTCAGCTTTTGCTCATTTAAATTGGCTGTGATGGAAGGAAGATAGATTGAACACACACCTGAAAGTTACTCGTAGTGCTGCTGAGACGTGCGATATTATATTATTATAGAAATTTATTTTATAACTCTATTAGTTCTGTTTCGACATATGGATTATGGTATATATTGTATATAGTTGTAGCTGTATTAAGCTTTAATTTAATTTGTTTGTTGTTTTATAGGTACAATGTCTCAAGCCACGTGCAACACTACAAATCTACAGCTCCATCACAACTTCAGGTGGCTTCTCACTGCAAATCACATGGAGCCTGTCAAAGGATTTTTAGCTAGGTATGCATTTAAAAGTGGATCACTAAAATAGAATACCTTCTTTATGCTCATTGAGAAAATAGTCGTTGCGCCGTATTCATTCACAGCTAGTTGTTTCATTTTGCAAATAGGTAGGTACTTCGAATTCAAGGACTGTGAAAATAAGAGTCAAAAATAGTTCTAGAGAGGCCCTATGATTTATCTTGAGAAACGCACGTACTAGTTTAGGTAAGCAGTATAGTGTTAAACTTCATACATCATCAGCCTTTAATAGTCCACTGCTGGACATAGGCCTCTCCTTAGAAAGGAGATCTTGGCCTACTGTACCACCCTGGTTGGGTTGGCAGTATAGTGTAAATCAGGATAATTCGACCACATCCATATCTATATTACGTAAAAATTAATTATAATAATAATCATGTCCTATTAACTTTTATTGAATATTTTTGTCGTCCGATATATTGATTCCATTGTAATAATATAAAATGTTCTGCCAATACCTTACATAAAGTCTCTAAGCAGAAAACAAACAAACTGTACTTATATGTATATTATACAACCTAAATTTGTAGGTATCTACGTCGCAAGTTATTTACCCTGGAGCTCCGGCTAGGACGCCGCGAGCCTGCGCTGGCTGCAGTGCTGGAGTGGCTGCCGGGCGTGTGGTCCACACTCAATGCATTCCTTGAAGCGCACTCATCCAGCGACGTCACTGTCGGACCGAGACTATTTTTGGCATGTCCCATGGATTTAGAAGCTAGTCAGGTGAGCCTTAATAAAATCTGTTCAACCAACACTAAAACGTGATAGTAATTTAGAAGGTTTATTTTCTAATCGTTATGAATTTCAAATTGTAATTTTACCACAAGTATTAGTCAAAAAATAGAAATAAAATATCATCTTCTACCGGGTACAAAATTTTGTGGTTTAAGTAAATGACTTGGGATATAAGGATTAGTCGGTCGGGAAGGTCGTAGTTTCCTAGGTCGAACCCGTGCTTATACAACATGTTATCCCTATATCATTTCAATGAAATATTATAATTTTTCCACAAGTAAACTCCAATTTTTGTAATAGCAACTAAAAAAATAAAAAAAATCTCTAGAGGTCCTATAATAATATAAAATGTGTAACTAAGGTATTAAAATTTACATTTTCAAAAAAAGCTAGCGATAATATTTTCGAAATGGAGTGCATAAATACGGAATTAAAGATTAGATTAAGATATCAATATACTAATTATATTATATTTACTTATTAATTGTATTTTTGGGTAGGCCTGGTTCGCGGATGTATGGAACTACAGCATAGTCCCATACGCGTCGGAGGCCGTCCGCGAAGGCATAGCATTGTATGGCAGGAGACGACATGCTGCTGTAGATCCGCTGCAACACATCAAATCCACTTATCCCTGGAGAGAACCTAATCATTCCCACGTATGTATCCAAAACTTTTATAAAAATGTTATAAGTGAATTGTCCATGTGCAAGATACATAGTTATCCAGTCATTTACAATATATTTAATCTTGATTAAAACTAACCATTTAGTTAAGCTTAATGCAGTATGTACGGGAACTAATTGGACGTTATTTATTTACAGACATTAAGAGCAATAACAGTGGAGGAAATTGGTGTTGAGGAGGCAAATCAAGACCCCAACACAAATAATAATCAAGATCCTTTAGTGAGTATCAACAAAATAATCCTGTCATTCGGTAGGAAAAGTAAAAGGCTTTTTAAAGTTTTTTCTGCATATTGGCTTATCTATTTGTTATTTTCTTAGGTAAAAGATAGATATTGAACATAAGTAGCAAAACAAATGTCAAAGAATTTATTTTATTTCTAATAAAAAGTTCTTACCAAGTGGCGATCTTAAAATCTGAGTGGGTAATGCAAAAAGATTTCACCACCAGATTAACCTTCTAACGCTTATTTATTAACAGTTCGAATAACTTACGTGTTGAGTAATGTCCCTATTGCTGTGTTTTGTACCTTACAGTTATCTACAGTTATTACACCAGTAAAGAATAGCAATGCAGTAATATAAAACGGGCTTTATATATTTAATACATGTACTATTACTACTAATCAAAGTTTAAATAAGATATCAAGTATCTTATCCAACCATTTCAATTTCTCATTTTATGATTTGCAAAAATAAATGGCTGGTTCTCACGCGTCATTGAGTTATTAAAGTGTCGATAGTGATATACAGAAGATAATTCAATTTATTATTTTACAGCTGAATATGTTAATGCGACTTCAAGAGGCGGCGAACTACAGTGGAAACCAAAGTCAGGACTCAGACAACGCAAGCTTGGATTCAAATCTCACCCACGACAGCTCCATGGGCAACGAGCTATAATAACGATGGATCGTCTCGACAGTGTTGTGAAATTATTATTCACACATTTTCATACCAATGACTGGTTTACAGTGACAATATTCGACTGTTATTAAAATTCCGATGCGAGCAGGAATTCCATGAAAAGTATAGCTATATATAAACTGACGTTCCTCTCCTCACTTGTGGATTATATGATATATAAAGCCAAATATTTGCCATATGTATATTATTGATATTTATTATTTACTTACCTTTAAGTGTTACTTTAGTTGCGAATCTATATTAGTTTAGTTGATTTTTATTTTGATAGTTATTCTATTGCGTCTATTACTATATGGGCGGTCCTTTTTTAATTTACGAAAGCAGTTTGCTCTGCAGTATTTGCGAAATAGCAAATATCAATTACAAGAGCAAGCCACCTCTTTCTTCAATTCTACTTTTGTTTGCAAAAATTGTTAACAAAACCATTAAAAGATACCACCTATCCACTCAACCTAAGTGAATAAGTAGGTACCCAATTAGTAACAGTGCCTGGAGCGATCATTTTCTACGACGATAAACGATGTTGAACTATCACTGTTTATATAAAGCATTGTGGCTTTTACTATTGTTATATTTTTTCAAAGTTAGGATATGAACCGCATTTGTATTACTATGACATGTTTGTAACATAATTATGAAAGTGTAATTTTTATACCATTTTCATATTAAATCATGTACCTAATAATATATTTAAGTGTAAATATGTTTAATATATTTTCTTTTTGTATGCGATTACAACTAACAGCTATCTATTATGCCATAAACAGCGTTACTTTTGTATAGTAATACGTAACCACTGTGTTACAGTGTTCGTTATGGGTTGACTTGTGTGCATAAAGGAAACGTGATATCTACAATCTATGCTTTACAGAAAATGTGAAATAAAAATAAATCATAAAAATGATACAGTTTTTAATTTTTATCCCATTGAGATTTGCGACTTTCGAAATAATAGACCAGGAAAAGGAGTCAACTAGACAGATGTTTAAAAAAAATGCCAACCCGAGATATTTGGACGTATTTTGGTCCCTCTCGGTACATCATAATAGTTTAACTAAAATGCAACAGCTGAGATCGTACCATTATTTTGTAATTTGATTTTAAAGTTGCAAAAAGTAGTTTTCCAACAATATAAATTTTCCTCGACTTTTTACGAAGAAATTTATTATGAGAAAGTTGTAGGCTTTGATGTGTAGTATACGTGGGTTTCTTTGTGGCTTAGTCCGTTGCATAGTTTTTGCAAAAAGCCATTTATTTATTTAAAATGCCCTTTTTTTGCAACTTGATTTTCACAGCTTTGGAAAGTCGTACAATGTATTTCCTCTTTATCTTTCTTAAGAGTTGTGCTTCAAATTGAAATTTATGACGCACGCAACTATATGAACTATATTAACAACGTGATGAAAACCGCAATAGTATAAAAAACAAGAGTACCTCCGTACTTTAACCGCACCTTCCCCCCAACAGATTTCTACATTTTTCAAAATAAGGGATAAAGAAACTGACATCAAAATGGCAAAATTGTATGGATAATTTGGGCCAATACTTTGATTAGCTATAATAAAAAAATGACCAAAATTTTTCAATTTTCATACAAATCTCCAACTTCATAGGTAAAGACTTAAAATAATTTAAAGCTACAGATTTTGTTTGTTTGAACGTTTTGTTTTGTTTGTTTAATCTTAGGAAGACAGGAACTTCTGGTTCGAATTGAGAAATAGCAAATATTAGAAAAATAATTTAGTGTTGGTAGTCCATAGCCATTAGCTATAGGATATATAACATCACGTGACGGCTAATAGGCGCCGAACATCAATGAAAAATGTTGCAAAACGGGAAAATCCATTCCTTTTGCGAGAAGCAGACGAAGTTGCACGGGTCAGCTGGTGATATATGCATATATCATTAGGTATCATGTTTAATTGTGCTTCTCATGCTTAAGGTAAGCTTAATTCATATGAGAAATAAGTGAAACAATTACTCTATATCATAGAGGCTGACAGGAGTCATTTTACTTTGAAGTACACATACATACATACACTCACGTCTTTATTAAAAAAACTAGTTTAAGAATTGTTATTTGTAACCATATATGTGTGAGAAAGAACAAAAAAGTTGTTATTATTAATTTATAGGTATCCCTGAAGGGGCACACAGGTTCAGGGTATTAAACGCCTATATTTTGCGAGCTATAATTTCATTCCCACTTTTTCATATCCCATTCACATTTCATACACACGTAATAGAGGGCGAGCCTTGAAAACCGGCCACAAATTTCTAATTAAACATAGTTATATACTTCTAAATACAAACATATAGGTACCTACATAAAAATATACCTAGTTATTGTCCTGGCTGAAAAAAGAAACCTCGACCCACGAAAACTCTGGCTTAGCAGTCAGGATCGCTAAGCACCAGTACCCAAAGGCTAAAACAGGACCCTATTAATAAGACTCCGCTGTCTGTCCGTCTGTTACCAGGCTGTATCTCATGAACCGTGCTAGTTAGACAGTTGAAATTTTCACAGATGATGTATTTCTGTTACCGCTATAACAACAAATTCTAAAAACAGAATAAAATAAGTATTTAAATGTAGCCCACATTTAAATACAACAGACATTACTTTTTGCCGTTTTTATAGATAATGGAACCCTTCGTGCGCGAGTCAGACTCGCACTTGGTCGGTTTTTTTTTATAAGTAATTGTTTCTATCTAAGCACAAAATTTTGGTGAAACGACGAATCACAATACTGTGACCCCAAGAAGACCACGGTAGATTTAGACTTCAATGTGGATTCCAGGTTGGCCTTCCCCATACATTTTAAATAGGCAGCTTGAGAATTAACAGCAGAATATTCTACGCTACGTCGTCGATTGCCTTAATATCTATGGAAACTAGCTATCGCTTCGCGTAATTATTTCTTATTTAACTTAGACACTGACGAACTTCCATATAACCATTCATCCCTTAATGGTGAAATTTCTAAGTGAGTGCTTACAACATCTGCTGCCAAAATTTCAAGTTTAGCCCCAACCCGAGGCTTAGGCTCTGCGTCGATGAATAAGTTAGTCAGTCAGGGCTAGTAATTTTATATGTATAGGTAAGGGACTTTGTTCCGTAAGCAAAGCTTAAGCAACAGATTATTTATGCTAGGTTATTATTAAACTATAGACAGCGGTCCCAACAAAAGTATGCAGAGCCGCACGATGTGTAAGGTTAAAATAGTGATTTATAAAATTGTGGATAAAAACATTAAAACTAAACAGTTGTAGGCATTTTTTTATTGTTGAAGTACTTAGTTACAGCATGTTTCATCAAACTTTCAGAAACAGACATTTTCATGGAGCAATTTGGACGGAACCAGTTTTATTTCATTTAGGACTAGAATCTTTATTTACTGAGTACTAAAAGGAACAATCACATTAACATCATGAATCCAATATAAATAAGGCACAACCATTTAAAAAAGTACTTTGACAGACAGTGTTCTGTATTTGTTTGTTAATAATTAAAAAAGAATACAAAACATTTTAAAAATAATGTTATGCTATACATTTTAAAATATTTTGCTGCTTAATACTTGTATTAATAAACTGTAATGGACATGTAGAAATTATACAATTGAGTAACATTCTCTAATCAAGTTAGCAGTTTAACCGAACAGAGGACTTAATTCAGAATACCTAATAATTGCATACCTAATGTAATAGCTAAGTTGTAGTAGCCAATGTAAAAAATATTACATTGTAATCTGAAACTAAACTGTTTTTACTAAAATCCATATTTCAAGGCAGTTAAAATTACTTAAATGGAAGGACAAAATTTTCTTTCCAAAACATGTCTTCAGAAGATATGTTAAATAGCATAGTTTAAACCACTGTAATTTTTATTTTAATCTGCATTTTACATCATTTACTTTGAAATTGTGACACTTTAATATGTTATTTATAATTTCTCAACTATATAAAGGAACATTTTTTTTGTATTTAAAGTAGGTGTTATTGCTTTAAGTTTAACTTGTATGTTTAAAAATAATTTGTCTCAATCACTGTGTATATCAAGACTTAAATTAGAGAGAGACGGCACAGGAGACTCTGTGAAATCTCCTGAATGATCACTATATAATTTATTCATTTTATTATCTTCTGGGTCTTTAGAGTGATTAGTAGGCGACTGTCTAGACTTTTTATTTGTATTACTCAAGTTACTTTTTTCACTTATCAAATCGGCAACATCTGATATTGATACAGAACTCTGTGAACTCTGAGAAAACTGATGTGGACTTTCTACTAAAGAATTTTTGTTAGGACTTTTCTCCCAATTGGCCTGATCAAATTCTGTTTGATTCCCTTTTCTTCCTGAAATATCTTGAAAATGAAATATTGGTGAGGAAGAAAAATCATCTCTGTAACTGCACTCACTAGTTTCTTCATCATATTTTGTGGGTAGTAGTGATTGATTATCATTGCTTCGTTGTTTTTTCTCATTTTCTGTATTTAATGATCCAAGTGTGAGACTGCTTAAAGTGCCAGATTTTGGAGACGGCACTTCATTTTGTGGATTTGTTACAGATTGGATGTTAGAATGGTCTTCATTTTTGACATCTTCTTTAACAGTTGGTAGTCCAGCAGTATTAAGCATTTTTTCATCTAATGAGTTGAATGGTTTTAATTCTATATATGAAGTAGAGTCACTACTGCTATTTGACAATTTCATTTCTTTTTTTACTTGGCTTTCAGGTTTATTTTGAGTAGCCGATTTATTTTCACTTTTTGTATCAATATTTTCAACTGATCCACTAGTGTTTAATGGGTTTAATTCTTTAATATTGCTATTAGCATTAAGTATGTGATCACCAGGAATATATTCTGAGCAGGATTTATCTCTGACTGAGTCACTGGAGGTATCTGTATCTGAATGATCAAGCTGGAGTCTTAGGTGTAGTTTGTTTTTCTCATCTGATGAATTGTCCGAATTAGAATTACTTGTGTTACTACTTTGTGAATCATGAAGTATGTAAGTACAGTTTTGATCTTCCCTATAGTTTTTGTCACTGCATTTATCATAAGTCTTTAAATTTATATTCGTACGGTCGTTAATTCGTTTGTGATGTGGGTTCAAGAAACTTTTAATAAGTGACAACAATAATGGCTCCTTCAGGGCCTCATCTTTTCGCATATTTAACTTGTCTGCCAGTGATTTCCTTCCATCGTAATTGTACTCGTTTCCTTGACGAGATTCCGACATGTAAACGAACAAAGTGTTTTTCAAACAACAATATTCTAGAAATTCGTGAACTACTGACAGAGCTAAAAGTCCTTCCGGCAACTTTAAAACGTTATCTAAATTAACATTTTGTTTCATATTTTCACACTCATCTTCGAAAGCTAGAAAAATATTAGCTCTGAGTAACGCCCGTATTTTAGCAAGAGAGCCATTTCTTTCCAAAGCTTCAATAACTAAATCTCTGAGTTCTGTGTCTTCTGCTTGTGCCATATCAAAGTATATAAGTAACTTCTTTGTGATAAGTTAGAATATAATGTCACAATAAATAAAAACACAGCACACTAACAGAACAGTTTTTGAAGTATTGTTATAATGTTTTGCTTTAATAAAATACAATGTACGCATTTTAAGCATGCATTAGGCATTGCCACCTACTTGAAAATTGTTCAACTTTAGCGAACGAATATCAGCGAGCTCGTTCTTTCTAATACGGTAACAGTATATTAAAAGGAGACAAAGATAAAACAATGCTAAAAAAGGTTTACTCTGAGATCAGCTATCATTTTTTGACATTTATATTTATGGTGTTGCTATGAATATAATCGTTCTGAAATCGAAAACCTTTCCCTTTAAACTTTATTTTTGCTTTAGATTCACGAAGTTTTTTCTTGATTTGAATAATAGATAGCAATCAATGGTCAATATTTTATCACAAAAATTTTAATTGGAACCGCAGTTTACATAATATTCACCTATGAAAAAATAAAATGCCTTTAATTTATGCTTTGTTAATATATATTTTTTTCTTATTTTCACCAACAAAATTAAATGTTTTACATTAATATTGGGGTATAAACATAATAGTATTAGGTGGGTAAGTACTACTAATATTATAGGTACTATTTAAGCTAATGACATATTACAAATTATTAACACTGTTTTTAGCAACAACTTCACAGACCTAGCGTTAAGCATTTTGGTTAATAAGAAGTCATAGTTTATTTTATGTAATAAGTGCATATGTAAGTAAAATGTACCTACTCTAATAATTTACAAACAATAATGGTACTATGTCCAAGAAATATTTTATAATCAGTGTCGACTTCGTGTTCGATTTTAGGTACATCCAGATATTTGTTATTATATCTTTGGAAACATGCTCGATTACAAGGGGTGAAGGCTTGCGCCGGGAAATGTGGGAAATTCAGTCAGTCGGGTCGAGTGAGCGTGGTAGGTCGGTACGGTGTACGCTTTGATTTAACGGTATAATAAAACTTTTAGCCTCTTTTCCTATAATATCTTGATTCAAAAACTCTGATAATCTCATTTTTAGTGTTTTTTTTATTTATTAAAACTCCGCAAAATAAAATTGGGGCAATGCCCATTTAATGTGTTAAAATACTAGTGGCGGGAAACCGTTTTGATATCTCGCTTGACGTGTTGTGTCCTATGTGTACGTAGAGCGAGAGGAGCCGTCTGCCCTAGAGGGCGGCCGACATGCTGGATTCGTCGTGAATCGATATTTTTGGAACGTTGTAGAGCAGAAACCATGAGGTTCGAGGTTCAATAAAGGTACGACAGGTGTTACTATTAATAGTTTTCGTTCATCCGAAAATCCCAAAGCCATTTTAACAATTATGTGTTGCGTTATAGAAACGAGCTAGACAAGACGCACGTTAGACTCGTAGTTTAGTGATCTATCAAAAGTTTTTTTTCTTTTATTAATTAAAAATAGTCTTTTTTTAATTTGGGCTAAATAATCAGAAGAAATCCAGACCTAAATTAACCACTAGAGAGTTACGTTAAAAAACAAATGTACCTAGTTGTTTTTAAATATATATTTTCAGTTTTTTTTAAATTTTATTTGAGATTTTTTACTTTCTATAACTTCATTTTAAGTGTTGCTTTAAATTTCATGATAAAAATTGTTAATAGAACTTAACGATGAATCCCTGTTTTAACATGTATTATATTTTTGTATTGTAGTTTTTTCTGTGTATTTTTTATCTCTTAATTTGATTTAGTTTCATGTATGGCTCTCATTTAACAGGGATGTGGATTTTATTATCTGGTAGGTATAGGGCTAAAGATTTTCAAGAGAGTATTTTTCTTCTTTACAACTATTAGATAACCGAACTTCATTATTGAAATATAATGTTCTTTGTTAGCTCATCTTTTTACTGATGCTGACAAAAAAACTTATAAGTACAATAATATTAATAAGGACCAAATCAGAAATGATCGACATTTTTAAAACATTCTGAAAATAAAATATGAACCGTATTGTGTTATGATAGAGCTGAAAATCGTTTCAAATAGTATAATCTAGTCCAGCGGAATGCGGTGTACCTTCAAATATCTTCTCGCGACAAGGCGAGTATTGTCGAACATACGCGAGAATGTTCTAACACACACGTGACTGCACGAGCATGAACAAATACTTGTGTTTTCTGATAGTAGTTGTCTGACTTTAAATAAAGAACATTTTCGTATGTATTCTATGGGCTGCACAAAGGCTTAATGTGCGAGGTGAACTATGCCTAAGCATAAGTCCAAACACCCGCGCCTTCACAAGCATGCGCGAGGCTATCCGAGCATAGACGCTTAGTTTAAAGAGCGTGAAGCATGTATTAAACTGCTCTATCCGAGTTGACTACTACACCTTATTTCTGTGACTATTACTATTATCTGACTATTTTCAGCCAAAATTCAGGAAATAAAAAATGTAGATTTTGTCGTCGTGCTTATACGGGTTCGGCGGGGATTATTTTGTGCAAACAAGTCTCTTGTCAAAATGTCGAACTGACTTTACTAATGTACCTATATAATGAAAGCGTCTTAGCTATATAAATTTAATAAAATTCAAATTCAAATTATTTATTTCGGACTAAAATAGTAGCACAGAACTTTTTGAAGTTTTGATTAATTCCTAGCATAATTTCCAGCGGTTACACAAGTGAATATTATTTTATTATCCATAATGAATAGACATGATATTTCCAAAATATATTCCAGGAGGAAAGCTCTAATAAACAATATATAATAAGTAATTACAGTTAACAAAAAGCGTAGGCCTAATAAGTACCCTTTGAACTTTGAAGTCTACGTGATTTTCCAATTCACTTGTACGTAAGTGTAACTAAACTTACATGAAATACTTAATTACATGAAATTTGTGAAAGAAAGTGAACAGTTTAAAGCTACGACATCAAATTGATATAATGGTTCGTTATATAAATGATATTAATCAAAGCAATAACATTATCGTGAAACGGCTCCGCGGTAAATTGGCGAGGCCCATCAAAATGTCATTCTCCATTACCTTTTTATTTTAGTTTCTTGTAACCTGTCACAGACTGAATTTTCTATTTGTGTTTAGGAAATTCGGTAATCTAAGAAATGCATACTATGTCGTTTGAATGATATCTTACAAATATTTTTTGCGCTTACCCACTTCTTTTAGTCGTTGACCAAGATCAGTATCATGTTTATAACTAGCCAGACCTGTAAGCTAACCAGCACATTTCAAAACTGTACATTTCTTATAGTATAAATCTAACTTATAGTCCCAAGTAGGCTCCATTCCTGAATCAATTGCTGCACCAGACATTAGGTTGCGCGGAGGTATAATAATGAAACGAAACCGAACTTATCTTTTAATGTATCTGAAGTGTGTGTGTGTGTGTGTGGGGGCGTTTGTGTGTGTGGGGGCGTGTGTGTGTGAGGGGGCGTGTGTGTGTGTGTATTTGTGTGCATGAATTACAATACATATCTTTGAATTACGTTGATCAGGTTGCACTGACCTTAGTCATAGTCTTTTAAATTTTCTTTTCGCCGTTTACCGTCATAAAAACCTAACAGTGTGCGTATTCAGTATGAATATCGATGTGAGGCGAGAGTGGAGTATTACTTAAATACGGAGTCGATGTTGTCTCTCTCTATCTCTCATGGAAAGCTTTTCAGTCTTAGCTTTAGCTCTAAATGTTCAGGGTCACATTGATCGTTCTTGAGTTCAGCTCTGTTCTTGAGTGAAGTCGAAATAATTAGAAACTTGTGTATTGGCTACGAATGCTACTATGTCAATAAGACTAATAAAAGTTAATCAATCAAGACCACGCGGTCTCGATAAAACATTCGTTAATAGCATCACAACCTCATAGACAAAGCACTTAGGAAATGAGGAGGTTGATTCATTGTTAAGAAGTCAGTTCTATCATGTCTCTAATATGATCAAGTTTTAGTTTCACTGTTAAAAGTGCCATTTTTATCATTACGTATTTGGCATAAAAGTTGAACTACTTAAACTAGAGATACAAGAGGTAGAGAATATAGCTCGCTGTGTAAAAGAAAACAGGAATACGGCTTTTGTTGGCACAATGTAATCTTTGCTCTCGTTACGTGTGCCGAGATCATTTGGGCTCCAGTTGTTTCTTACAAGGGTTTAATTCAGATTTATTTCAATTCCTTTCTAAATGTTAGTTACGTTGTTATTTACGCAGCATTATCCGCCTTTTTCTTTTACCAGTACTTATTAATTATATTGTTTACTTACACATCTACTTATTAAAGGTTAAGTAAAAATATTATCTAAGTAAAGATATAATTTGTTTCATATAGTCGGATTTGACTGTAAGTCATGGGACCGGATAAGCCAGAATTTAATCAAACTTGAATTGCTTTCATTGGACATGAATTTTTATATAACGTTTCATATAACGTAAATCTATGCATAATTTGTCGTGACAACTGTTTACAACGCATGGAAGTGAAATATTTTATGTATGTTTATGGAGCTACAAAAAGCGCTGGAGAAATTTATATCGTTTTGAAATCCAATTTGCGGGGACAAGTTTGCGCCAGGAAATTTTTTTTTGGTTTTCCAAGTTACTGAATATTGCAAAGTTATCACTATCATACAGCTTGGTGTAAGAAGCGGTTTAAGCCCGTAGGCCTAGCTTCATTACACGACGTATCTAATTATGCAAGGATTCAAAATTATATTAGAATAAAATATATAATTATGTTATACCTTTAGTGCCGAGATTTGTAAAATCTTTTTTACCCTATGTAATAAATATCTATGTATATACATTGTTATTTAAAGGTGTAGATAATACATTCCCATTCTAGGGATAAATACTATATTCTAACAAAACTATTGATCTAAAATGAAATACTTTGGCGCGTTGTCAGCAGAAAATTAAATTAATTAAATACTCTGGCGACTATTTGACGGAAGGTTGAATCGTAACAGTCGTCTTTAAATTAGA